ATGCTGCTGACCTGCTGAGCAGGAACTAAGTAGCAGAGGGTGAAGATGCCAAAGACACTGTGTTCAGTTTAAGTCTCTGGCAAGAGAAAAAAAAAGCAACTTGCTATTTTTTAAGCAGTCTCAGTGCTTTTAAGGAAGTCAAATTGACAAATGCTTACGGAAGGATCTGTTAAGACACATGGAAGGATGTCAGCAGATAATCTACAAGGGAGCAACAATGGAAAGGGGAGGACATATCCCTTTTGTCCCTAAAAATATCCAAAGTGGAGGAAAACTGGAATTTGGCTTGAGGTCTTCATATAGAAACACACATGGCTCTGACTCTGGTCAGCATGAGACCAGAACTCTACCTGTCCACAGGCTGCTGTTCACCCGAGGCCAGGAAGACATGCACTCACATAGGCACATTCCATCCCACAGGATTCATTGCCAGATTTCTGTGCACCCACACACTGCTTCATCCAGGACAAAAAGCAACCCACCATGGCACTGCCTTTTAAAACAGAGCTTTGCAACTTCAGGGTTCTACTTGTTCTGGGTGATTATTCTTTGCCTTAGGGCAGTGGATATATATAATTCCTGAGGTCAAAGGGAGCAATACCGCTATCACTAAATAGGTCAATGATGCTCAACCTGGGCTGTTAGGTATGCAAAAACCTACATATGATTTGTGAGAGAAACCCAGAGATTTAAAATAGGAATCCAGAGCGCCAAAACTGTTTTGGTCTGTTGTGGTCTTTCTGAATTCTTTGCAACAGAAAAATTTGCTATATATTTTTTCTGTAGTCAAGCATCAAGTGAAAACTGGCATTTTCTGAATCTAACAAGGGATGGTTTGAGTTTTAAAATGGTTAAAAAACACCCAGCTAGTTAGGTACTAACTAGAAGTTTGTTTTCACAAAGGAGACAAATTATGGCCTTTTGCTGCCCTCTGCTGGAAGGCTGAAAAACTTGTGCAGTTGTACTGTTTGGGTAGGGACAGAAATTACACATAAACCATTACAAGTGATCAGAAACTGATTTAAATCTGTAACACAACAGAAACCCAGTACACAAAAACTGATTTCAAAATGGACAAAACCAGTTTAAGATACAATCGGAATGGATCAGAATTAACTAATTTAAGTTGAATCTGTTTGTTGAATTTCTGTCCCAGATCCTGTCCAGGTTCAAAGTTAATTCACAGTTCCCCAGCATCCCAGGATGCTTTGGCTCAAAATGCAGGCTAGATTGGGCCCAAGCTGTCTGCTCCAGCCAAACAGGGAGGGGTGCTCTAGCAAGCCCTGGCTTCTGGCCTGGGCCACTGCAGGCATATGGTTGCATTTCTGTAATGAAAAGTGAATGTCTGTTCACTTGCTTATCAGTTCAATCTATTTAGTTTAGACTAACCTGCAAAGACCGACTTGAATTAGCCTCAGGTTTTTGACTGTCTATACTCAGCCCTTGAGCATACACACACAGTAAAGGAGAGCTGGCCTCCATGTACAACAGTAGGTGGTGAAGTCATTAAAGTCAAGTTGCTCCAGTCTGCTGTAGTAGAATACAATGCCAGGAGGGTCTTATCCACTGTTGGCATAGCCATGTAGCAGGTAAAGTGGTTGTGAGAGGTTTTCAGCCTGAGCTTGTGTTCAGCAGTTGTGTAACTAACAGCATGTCTCATACTCAAGTGTAGAGGATGTGATGAGGGCTGGCAATATATGGTCCATGGGTTGCATCTGGCCTGTGGAGCTGCGGGGCGTGGTGGTTTAATTAGTGTTCCAGCAATGGGAAGTTTAACAACATTCTGGGAGCAGGGGCCTTTGTCCATGTCAGAGCTAGGCAGCAAGGAACTAGAAGCAGCACCCATTTTGCAGTGGGCTAGGGCCAGGGAGAAACAGTGGCAGAGAAAAGCAGTGGTAGCAGCAGCACCTAGGTCAGGATATCAGCCTGCCACTGAGTGAGCCGGGTTGTTTTGGCTGGAGGCTCCAAAACATTGCTGACTGCTAATGTAGACCCACCTGAGCTAATTGAGGCTCATTTGCCTACTCATAGCAGCAAAGATGCTGCAACATATAGGCAGCAACTGCTCAGGTATCCTAGCCTTGTACAATCTTCATCAAAGCTGGTGCTAACGCATCTTCCTTGCATTATTACTAAAGCTAGCTAAGATAAAACTAGCTAGAGTGCTTCTACACAAGTAGGAGTCATTCCATGGACTACTCGACTCAAAGGCACTTTAACTCATTCATTACCTCTTGTTACAAAGAAGGGGCCTCACTGCAAAATGAGCTGAACAGACTGGGTCAGTTAATGTTGAAAGAAAATTAGAGGTTGTGAAGAGGCAAGATCCCCTGCCTGAGCACTTTTGTTCATTAGAGCACCTTGTTTGAGTGGTTGGCTAAGTCTCTCTTTCACTGACCCCAAGCAAAGGGATCTCTTTCCATCATTATCTTTGATGGACTGTTCTTCAGATTAATATTCTGACATCAGACATGTTAATCCCTTTCTTTTTTTCCCCCTCAACAAAACTAAAAATCAAACAGTCTATCACTGGCTAGTTATGACCTGCTGTACTCCTTTGCTTTCAGTCCTTTTTCACATGCAACTACTTGGGTTACAGTTAGGATGGCCAAATATCCTGGATTGGCCAGGACAGTCTTGGATTTCAGAGACTGTCTCAGCATGCTGGCCATTGGAAAAAATTGAAGCAAAAGCCCTGGATTGGCCCACACATATGGCTCCTGAATCTGGAGCTGCACACATGCAAGTGGATTTGCATCCACCTGGGACTTTTGCTTCAGTTTTCTCCAGGGAACCCTGCCAATAGGCTGCTCCTAGTCCAGACCCTGCTGGGCTGTGAGCAGAGTCCCTAGCATGGTAGAGTTGGGGTCAGGGGAGGGATGTGCCTAGGGAGTCACAGGGTCAAGGCTCTGTGTATTTGTAAGTGCCCTGCCGGCCCCCACTCCTGGGAGCGGCAGGGTTGGGGTTGTGTGTGCGCGTGCGCATGCAGACACTCCTTAGCATCCCACCCCATCCTGGATTTCCTTCAAATTATTATGGTCATCCCAATTGTAGTTAAAGGCAGCAGGCATGTGCATACATAGCAGGAAGTAACAACTCCCTCCAAGTTGAGGTGAGGGGGTCATTTCTTCCACTGGGCAGAGAGCTTATTTTAACAATTCACTAAGAAACTAATGCAAACTAAAATTTAAAAAGGATCTCAGGGAATGTTTTCTCTTTTCAGCAGTGCAGTAGGACAGTGTGACAATCTTTTGTGTTCTACCACTGAAGTGGCCCTAAGGTAGGGCAACAAGTCACCTGTAGAGTAGTTTGAAATCTTCTGTCACGGAGGGCCAGAATGTGCATTTCTTCCACTGTGAACGGTTACAAAAATGTCAGTAGATTTGATCTGCACTGTGGACAGTTAGGTGGGTATAGGCTGTCACTACTCAATTCTAATGTAGAGCTGAACAACTGGAAAGTTCAAAAGTAGAGCAGAATTTTACAGGTTAGGCTTAGCTCATATGGCTCACTTGTCTTCTGAATCATCCCTAGAGGAACCAGTCATTTACCTTTCATTTCCAGCCATGATCCCATTCAGCATGAAACCACTCTGTGAACTTGTGACCACCTTTCAACATGACCAAGCAACACATCTTGGATAGCTAAAGCAAAAGATCTCTTTACACACTGAGTTGAGAAGAAAGATATCTACTGTTGGACTACATTTCTTTTTATATCAGCAGGTGATCTATAAAAATGACTGAGAAGACTGAAGAGAGATTCTAGAAGTCAAATAGAGCCCTGCTCCTCCTATCCTCTCCCCTCCCCAGCATTTGTTTTCCCTACACAGGAAGTTCACCCAAGTGCTCTTTGTTTTCCAGTCAAGCAAAATAAAATACCAGAATCATTCAAGTAGAAGTGGGTGCCACAGGGGCAGGGGAGGAAGAGAAAGGTTAAACCCAGAATAAAGCAAGGTACCTAGATGAGGACAGACAGCCCAGGTGGTGATAGGGTAGAGTCACAAGATAGGAGTTGAGAGCTATTCTCGGACCATTTGTTTAGCATCCAGAAGAGCTGGCAACACCAAAAATATTGCTTGCAAAAGGAAAAAAAACAAAAAACAAAAAAACCAACAGATACCAGGGCAATCAGAATGCTTGATGACTTTGCCAGAAGTAACTAAAATCTAAATCTACAGATAAATTCCCCAAAGTGATTTGACATTAATTATCAGGGGCAGGGTGAGAAAGTATGCTTAGACATGACAAGGAGCCCCATTTTCCCATTAGGCCAGCAGTCTCCAAACTTTAAATAGGAGATCACCTTTGGCATTTAAAAGCAACCCACAATCACCCCCTGCTCCCCATGCAGCAGGTAAATCTATGGTGAGGGGCAGATTGAGCAAAAATTATTTGGGGGTGCACGTCCCTGGCAGGTAAGTCCCACCTGACCAGGGCCCCATTCAACTTACCCCTGCTCCTGCCTCTGCAGCACTACCCCTCACTGTGCAGGCCTCAGTCTAGCCCCCTCCCCTTCCCTCTCCCATGAACCAACCTGCTGGGCCAGGCACTCAGTCCCCCACCCCAGCCTTGGATAGATTCCAAGAGGCTCCGAGATCTACTGAAGGATCAAGATCCACTGGCTGGTGATCACCGCCTTAGGCCATAGAGCTTTAGGTTTGAATCCTGCCCCCCCACCCCGTGCATTGCACCACTCTTGGATAAGGGGGTGGATGTCTGTGTATCAGTGCCTATGGTCACTGGCATTACAGCATGTGAGAGGAAGGATGAGATATTAGAGGCATAAAAGTGCTTCAACATTTATTTCTTTATATAAAAAGTGTAGGGTAGATCTAAAAGCCACAATGTTTAACAATTACTTCATTAGAAGTAAATAGTAACTCTGCCTCCTGGTTAGACTAACTAGGATGGAGTCTTTTATTCAGGACGTTATGTTAACAGACACAAAGTTTTTGGGGGTGGGGTTTGTTTGCTTTGACATTGTCACAAGGTACAGAACAAAAAACCAGAGAGGAGATGCACATGAGGGGATCATTCCAGTGCAGCCCATGACCAGGATCTTTTCCTGGGAGGGGTACGCTGCTGCTGACAGGAAGTGACATGCAACAGATACTGCTCACATTTGGTACAGATGTCCATAGAAGGCCAGTCCACCATGGTGGTCTTGTGACTGGCAAGAGGCTGTGCTGTGCACCAAGGTTCAAACACAAGTGGTACTCTGAAAGTTACCAAAAACAGGGCCGGATGTCAGGTAAGAGGGACATCGTTCTGCCAACCCCTCTCTCATGTGGTCCAGCACCACTTTGTGCTTTTATTTAGAGCACAGCTCTGAAGGGTGCCATCTGTTGGCTCTAGTCGAACCCCACTTAGAATCATTCTTGGGAAGAACTAATAAGGATCAGCACATCTCCATTAAACTGAGGGTCGTTCCATGGTTATGGGTCCCCCCCCCCCCCCC